GTCCCAAAGTCATATTATATTTCCTGGACTCCAAGACCCCCAAATCCACACTTAACCCCACCCCACTAAACATAAATGAGGTCACACCACTTGCTTATTTCCTATCTCTAATGACTTCCAATGCTCTTAGAAACAGCCGAAAATAATTTATGGACATGCAAGGCCTATGTGTTGTAGCCCCTGCCTACCTCAACCTCATGCCACACTTCTATTTTTTTTTTAAAGATTTATTTATTTATGCATACAAGAACTGGGGTCAGGCCAGATGTGCAGGGGTGGTGAAAGGATTCACCAGAGACAGAGTGGAGAGCAGAACAGGCAGATGGACTAAAATACACTGCTGAGGTCCAAGCATCAACCTGCCCTCAAACCCCTACACACACAGGGGTTCAATTTTCTTTACTTACTCTTAGCTTTAAGAAAGTTGCATTCCAAAGTCATCAATCATGTGTTATAAATAATACACCACCAGGCAAGGCATATAAAGCCACAAAAAGGGGGCCTGGCAGCAACCATAAGCCAGAGCCCAAAGAGCGAAGCCCTTGCACCATACCAACCAACCCCTCTTCCCTAATCTGTTTCTTACTGGAACCCAGTTTCCTCTTTGGGATGAGTTCACTAGGCCCAGCTATCTTTTTCTGATAAGCAAGAGGAGTAGGGGGCTCTGCAAACCAGCACCCCCACCTTCCAAAGCTCTCTTACCCACTTAAAGGCATTCCAGAGCCATAGGTGCTGTACCTCTACCTAGACACGCACCCTCCCCGAGTCCCAGACTTTCACAGTTCACACAGTCCCGGCCTGCATGGCTACTTTTGCTCCAGGTAGGGCTTTCCTTCCAGGCTGAGGGATGGAATTGCAAAGGCATTTCCAGGTAAGAGGGGGCTAGAGATTTCCTATTATTAATACTGATTTTAATCTCCTACATATTATTTAACTAAGAACTAAGTGATCAAACAACTATACACCTGAAAAAAAATTTCAGTGCAACAGCAAGATACAATCATTCTGCGATGCTGTACCACACTGGAAATACAAGGGCTGCAAAGAGTAACATGAAGCACACATGGCGAGGGACTCAGTTTCTGCCCAAGTCTGCATTTCTTTTTCTTTTATTAAATAATAAACGGTCAAGTTCACACGTTGATAGTTATTAAAATAACCAACAGATTTGGTTCTTTGACATGTGCCAACTTGAGTCAACAAAGACTCTAAAATTTAAGCCTCCCTGAGCCATTTTATAACTCAACAGGAGATGTCAGGCTGGGGGCGGGGCAGGAAGCGCCCTGCATTTATTAGTCAAGTACAATTGGCTGGAAATTGGCCTGTTTTTCCACTTACAAATTCCACTTTATTACTTGGCACTTTCAATAGCAGCTTCCAAGGCGATCATTTCTCCTCTTCAGCCTGGAGTTTTAACACATCTCCTTCTTAGGGGAACCAGCCTCCTAGGAAGAGTAGAGCTCAACTCACAAACCCAGGAAACATGTACCAGTGAAAATAGTCCATGTATTTAAACCCGTACTCAACCTTCAGAAGCAACATCATAAAACATTTTAAAATTACATTGGAGACTACATTTAACTTGCCAGTTAAAGTTTGGCAACTTTAGAAATACCTTAAAAGAAAAATCCTGACACATTACGAGTTCTTCACTTTACATCACAACTGATAAGCAACTTTGGTTATTGTTGGGTCAGAAAACGGCACGTGTCTGCAGCTGTTCCTAATGGGTTTGATCCGAATTCCACTTCTAACTCCTGTGTACTACTCTCTCTGTGCCCGGAGGGCTCCATGGGCCTCACGGGTGGTGGTACTTCAGCTCTGTTCTGGATTTCACCTGCTCACCTCACCTTTCTCACATGTCTAATGGCCACAGCTGCAGATCTTTACATTCTTGCAGACCCCAGTTATACATTTCTTATTCTCTTTGTTTTCCCTCCACCTCAAGATCATACCTGTACATTTGGGGTTAATAACAGAAGAGAAAGATAAAAAAGACAGAGGTCAAAGCAGAATTTTGGCTGGTGAGTAATATCCATTTTCCTTGCACAACTAAGCATATAGGATCACATTGGTGAATACTTAGTAAGCAAATAAATAAATAATGGTACTATATTAAGAGAGAGAAAGTCAAGTTGGGAAAGTGTGTGTGTGTGTGTGTGTGTGTATACAAATACATATATGGCTCAAAGTAAGCATAAAATATTGGGAAGATATGTACCAAGAGGTTAACTGTAGCAAATGACAATTTATAAGATTAGAGCAACTTTTCTTCTCTGTACTTTACTGAGACTTCCCAAATTTCTACAATTATATAACAAATTTACAAATCGAAAGTATCCTTTCACAAAATCACAGATATTTTCCAGACAACAATGTTCCTAATGAAGCTGAGTCAGACACAAAATGAGAGTGATAATAGTGAATACTAAGTTAGCATTTATTCTGTACCAGACACTGCAGTTAACTACATAAATTATCTCACTTAGTCTCCACACACTATTGACTAAGGACTGTATTCTTCTGACTCCCACTATGCAGATGAGAGAACTTAACTATGAAGTCACATGGTGTTAGGAAAGCGCCCAAGGCACATGACCCCAGAGCTCCCTCTCTCATAGACAGGCCACTAGGCTTAGAGCCTCCATGCTGCTGCACCCCAAACCTAACCCTTTCATTCTTGATTGTTATGTCTCCCACACTCTGTTTGAGCACATTTCCCATGCTCCTTTTGGGAAGGGGCTGGAACCAGACCATGTGAGCACTTCCTTCATGAGGTGATTAGCAGAGTCCAAGACATAAACAGTATCTGTGTTAAACACACCCACCTTCCAAAGTGGGGTGTTAACATTCAATAATGTAAAAGCCACTCTTAGGTCACAGGCCCAAAACAAAACAGGCCACGAAGTAAGAGTTGTGCCTTGCCCACTCCTAGTTATAGGCTCATCAACTCCTGCTGGACTTAAGGTACTGAAGGTGGAACATTCTCTGATCCATCCTTTATCTCCAGCTCCTAGCACATAAATGGTATTCAATCATTGGGAGCAACTAAATAGCTCAGATACATCCCTGGAAAATTTCCCCAAACTTTGAATGATGCCAACAAAAAGTCATTTTGCATTTTGAATCTCTTAGGCTTCTGCTGATTGAAAGTAAGCTATGTCCCCAGGAGAGAGGGACATAGTCTTTTTTGCCTCCTTTAGTAAGAAAAACTCTCCCTCCCCTGAACAGACTAAAGCACTTCCCTGAGAGGGTCAGCACTTCCCTGAGAGGGTCGATGCCTCCTAGGGCCAAACAGGACAGAACTCCCACAAAACCCAGCTTACCCCACAGCCCACTCAGCTTCTCAGGCAGAAAATCACCTAGACAAGTGATGCTGTTTGGAATAATTGCCAGGGACCCAGCCCACCTGTAAGTGACTCATTTACCTGCCACCCACCATACCATGAGACCGTGTTTTCTAATAATAATACTAGAGAAACACCGACATTATCATCATTATTCTTGCCTTCACCCACTTCCTGGGTCTCCCCTCCAGAAGTGCTCCCTCAGCGATCATCACCCCTCCCTTATTAAGGAGCCAATGCTGTTAAGCTGTTAGAGCTGAGAAACTTTACTGGCACCATCTCTGGCTTCACTTTGGGGATTCTCAGCACCTGTCAGGGTTCCCAACAGCATGGGCCGGTGAGAAAGGGGAGGAAGCCCAGAGCAGACCAGAGGAAATGGCCTGCCGACCGCCTGCTCAGTGCTGCCCGATGGCCAACCTCAGGCTCCACAGGAATGAGACAAACTTGCACCTTGGAAGAGCCAATGATCCAGTTCTTATCCCCAGGCTGGCAGGCTCACGGCCCAGGGAGAGCCAACTGTTTAGCTGGAATCTCGAGGCAGGAAAATGCTCTTGTCCCAGTTCAAAGGCAGCTGGCAGAAGGAATTCTTTCTAGGGGAGACTCAGCCTTTTTTGTTCAGGCCTCAACTCACTCCCTCCCATCGGTATTAGGGGGATCCACCTGGGCCCAGAAAGGCAAAGCACATATAGACTGCTCGATCTGCAGGTCTGGCAGCACTTTCAAATGTCTGTGAAACAGGAGGCTCATCAGTATCCAAACCTCCCCCCCCCCACACACACACACACAAACACCCCAGAACAATCCAAGACCTGATACAGACCTAGACTTCAGGGAAGAAGTTACACCCAGCACAGCCAAAGGTACCCAGGGAAGACAACGAAATCCTTCCCAGACAAAACAGCAGCCCCAAAGGACTAGAAGTTCTTCCTGATCAAGTGGAGGGCGCGGCTCCTACCGCCAGTATCCCCAGGAGAGGTCAGCAGGTCACACACACAAGCTCCTGGAGTCAGCGAACCTGTTTATGAACTGCCTTAGGGAGACTCATCTGTCTGCCCAGAGTCACTGACTGAGCCCAGACACTCCAGCCAAGCAGGTGGGGGGGAGGTGTCACTCTGCCCTCAGCATCCTCTGCGCTTCTATTCCAGTGATTTAAATCCATGGTGTGCCACAAATACAAAATTTGAAGAGTAATAAAGTACAAGTAGGATGATTACAAAATGGACTGAACAGGCAAGGAAGTGGCACAGGACCAACCAGCGCGCAAAGGTGGGCCATGGCTCCCTCACCTCGATGCCCATGTGGACACGGTCACACCTTCTGAGCAGATGTCCCTTAGCAGCTTTTCATCCAGGCGTTTATCATTAAAGAGCCGCCCTGCGCCAGATCACCCCTGCCTGCACCAGATCACCCTTGGCTCGCGACCCACTCAAAAGTCCCACAGCACTGACCACAGCAATACTGCACACTACACAGCCACGTGCTAGTGAGCCGAAGAAACAAGGGGCTACAAAGAGGTGACATGGTGAACGCTGGGCCTCCCACCCGCACAGGGAGGCAGAGAAACCAACCAAACAAAAGCTGGCGTTAGCAAGCTAACAGCGCTAATCATGCAAAGAGGAAGGGTGCAAAGAGAAAAGAAGGCGTGTACGTTACCCAACAGCCCCGCTAAGGACCGCATGTCCTTCTCCATCAGCATGTAAATCTCCTCCTCCGAGAAGCGGCCAATGCCGTGGCCGTGCATCTCGCGCTTCACAATTCCTTTCGTTATGTGGCACACGACCCACCTCAGCAGGTTACTGAAAGGACCACCACCTCTCAGAGAGAGCATCTTCCGGGTCTCACTGAGATTGTCCACCCACTGGCAATAAGCTAACGTCCTGCAAGTGTGCGGAAACAAGTTACTGCGGTGCGTTAGATACATACCAGCTCCACAGAATCAGCTCCCAGGAGTCTCAGAACTTCGCACGCCCAGAGGGACTGGGTCGTGGCAGCTTTTCCAGGGAGCCATGTACACAGGCTGAGACCACAGCAAGCTCCAGTCTGTGCTGTTCCAGGCCCAGATCAAGATGCCAAGGTACACCCTCCGCCAAGCCTCTCCCTACCTCAGACCCTCCATCTCCTGCCCTCCAGGGCCTTGCTCTGCCGGCTGTCTCCAGAGAAGGCCAGCGGAAAGCCCTTTTAAAAGATTTTCAGCAGAATGATGAGTATCTGAGTTGGGGCACAGGGGAGGTGTCAGCAGTGATTGGCGAGTCGGGATCAGTCTCTGTCACATTCACAGTAATAGTTGCAAGGTAACGCTCCGTGTTAATCAAGCTGCAAATTTTTGCTTTGCACACTTGGTGGACACATCAAAGAGACTATCTTGAAAAAGAAAATGTTTTACTGTTTTGACAGGGCTAGGAACTAGAAAAACCTGTGCATGTTTACTGTAAACCTACAAACTATAAATAATATGTGGGCAATTCAATCTCCAGAAAGTCAACTCTGCTTTGGCTCCATCTGGAGGACGTGGAGGGAACACACACTAGCCGAACTGGTGGAATCATTTCTCCCGCTGTGTGGCGCGTGCGATGAACTCGCCCATCCAGGTGCTTCTGTACCTGGGGCCAGCAAGCAGCTGCTCACCATCAACGAACAGAGATGGCCACAACAGCCAGGCCTCTGCTGAATTTGATCCCCAAATCTGTACCTTTGCAGGACTGCTTATAGTTAGCAGTATTGGCAGATAGAAATGAAAGGGTTTCCTCCTGAAGGTGGAGGCCGGAGGGTCCTGGCATACGATAGTTTTATTTTTTCCTCACAAAGGAGCAATGAAAGATGCTCCAGTAGCCATGCGTACTCCTAGTGCTGGTGGATGAGGAGTAGCAGCCACGTGGGGAAAAAAATCAGAAAAATATTTTTAAGAGAAAACACGAGGATGGCAGTAAATCATAAAAAAAAAAAAGCAATAAAGGGCCATCCATTTTGTTCATTTCTACATTCTTTTTTTTTTAGAATTCTGTTGTAAAAAATGAAAATAAGGAAGAAAAACATTCTCTTAACATTTTTAAGCATTTCTAATTTTTATTTAAACATTCTACCACTTCTTTCAACATACTTTCTTCACTGCCACCACTTCTTTAAACCTTTTTTAAAAAGACATACATGTTCTGCTAGAAAACTTTGTGTACCTCTTTTTCATAGGTCTGTCATATATAAAGTATTCAAGAGTCAAGAAATGTATTTTGCTAAGAGAGAAGAGTGCTTTACAGTAGAGACCGACTCTCTCGTGTAGACAGAGCAGTCAATAGGGACTTTCTGCACTAAATGTCTCACACTTGTCCTAGTAGATTCTCTATAAACATGCAAACTACTTTTTTACTTGCTCTTCTTACAGCTGCAGTCATTCTCATATTCCACTAGAACAATTTTCATATTCCATTAGAATAATTCAGCACTTTGATTCTAATTGTACTAGATCTAAATTCACAATAAAAAGGCTACTATCTTTGATAATTCTGGAGGAAATGATCTCAGAATAAAACTAAATTACCCTAAGTTAAATGAGACTGGGTAATAATAGCATCCAGGAGGCATCTACAGCATAAAAATGATGCGTATGGTAACTCTAAAATAACAGATTGATGTGGGGGAAAAAAATACATTCTTTGCAGACAAATGACCTGGGTTTTGTCCAACTCATGACTGATCTTGAAAGATGGCAGGGACTCATGGGGAGGCGCAGACACCTGATGCCAAAAGCGCCCGGCTTTATTTTGAATACAAAGAACCACCACTAAAAAGTTTTAAGCAGACAAGAAATGAACCAGATGGTGGTGCTGTGTGGAGGATGGTGATGTGAATCTGGAAGGCCTGGGGCAGGAGAAACTGGCAGAGGAAGACAGACTAGAAGGCCACAGCAAGGCCAGACAAGAAATGCTTCACTGAATGAAGGCGCTAGCAGCGGGAAGTCTGTGCAGGCATGCCCAGGCAAATTCTGAGCTATGAGAGAAGGTCCTCTGACAAATCTGGAATTGTGTCCTAAGAGCAATGAGGTATTTTTCTCCCAGGCTGATGGTGCACTGACTTTGGCATGCACAAGGTAGAGAACAGTCAGATGATGAGAGAGTTAGCCTGTTGCATTCAAAGGTCCCGTAGACCCCAAGGGAAGAAGTCCAGATGATTAAGAGCTCAAGACAAAAAATTTGTGGGCAAGAGCACGATAGTGACAGTTTTAAGTCATATAAGGAAGTTTCTAGGGCAAGGATTCATATGGGGGAACCATAGTTCAAGGCCAAGAAAAATAATGAGAGGGCAAGGCTGGAGACCAAGCTCAGAGAAAAGTAGGGGTGCCCCTTCACGGAGATGGAGAGCTTTGCTGAGGGCCTGCCGCGTTCACCCCGATGAACTCTGCGCAGCAAGAACAGGGCCTGTGCGGAGCAGAGACTACAGTGGCCGGGAAGGAAGCTAGCGGGCTAGTGGAGCAGGGGCCACTGGGAAAGGCAGCTCTGGATCACAGAGCCGGGCGGGAAGGACACCCCAGCAGGGCAAAGGTATAAGGTTCCTCTCCTATGTGGCAGGTTGAATGCAGAGCACAGAAGGACCACTGGGTTGATTCAGGACTTTGTAGCTACAAGTGAACTGTTTGATCTTCCTCTTCGTTCTCCTGCCCTGCTCCTGGCTTCATTCCTCTTATCCCCGCAGTCTGATATTTTCAACCAATCTGAGGGAAGAGAAACAAATGAAGGGCAGCCAGGGTCTTCAAGGCCGAAGCCCTATGCATGTGTATAACCTTTAAATACCAAAGGAAATGGGTGTTTGATGGAGTTCCAAATCAGTTATGACAGGCAGAAGACAGTGTTCATATGTGCTTCTGTATCTGACAGCCAAGAATGCATCTCCTCTCACAACAAAGCTTTATGAAAACTGCCCACATGTTAGAAGCACCCACCACCCTCTCCCTGCTCCACAGAAACTACTCTCACCCAAGTCAACAATCTCCCCTTGTTAACAAAATCCAAATAGACCTGCTTTCTGGAACTCTGTAGCATCTGACACTGTCGATCTCCTCCTAAGAAGTCTCCCTTAGCTTAGATGTCTCTACTGCCTTCCTCTCACCTCTTACATGCTCCCAACCATTTTTTATCTTGACTTCTCTGATCTTCTAGCTTCACACTGATGGGCTGATCTAATTCACACTCCTGACTCGAGATCAGTGGCTCTCAAACCGACCTGCTGCCCGACCTCTGTCCTGAGCCCCATCAACACGTATAAGGCACGTGCGGACCACAAACCACCCTTGCCAGAAGCAGACTCACCATCTCACCACCATTCCCTTCAGAATTGCTTCTCCTCAAGCAAGAAAAGAGTTCATATCCACTGCCCCCTCCCCAGCCCTCGCCTCACTCCTGCCAGTCGCCCCCCTCGAATCTGTCCTCTCCAACCCACACGGTAGCCCAGGCCATCACCATGTCTCAACCCCAAACACAGTGGCCTCTGCACCGTTCTCCTGAAATCCTCTCAAGGCCCTTCCAAATCCATTTGCGAGGCAGCCAAACAAAGCTTCCTGAAACACAAATCTAATCGTATCACACTGCTTCTTGGGGGCATTAACTCCCCACAGCTCCTTAGGAGGCCATGGCTGCTCGGACCCTCCTGTGGCCTGGCGCCCAGCACTGCCTCCCCTGCTCCAGCCACACATACCCCACGTGCCTTCCAAAAGGCCTCTTTCTTGTCGTCAAGCTTTTGTTCCCTCTCTTGAATACCCCTTCTGCCTAGCCTCTGTACTTCTGACTCTCCCTGGTTCTGTTGTGAAGCCATCCCACAGAAGCCTTGCCTCATCTCCCCTAAGGTGCTCGCTGCCATGCCTCAGCTCCTCAAGCTCCCCTGCCAGTGCAGACCATTATGACCATTATGAAGGCCTGATGTCTCCTCCAGTCCGTGAGCCGTTTGACGACAGAAACAGCATCATCTCCCCTGCAATTCCCACATCTTCCCAGCTCACTGCCTCACCACTAGTCGTCATTTATTCATTGAGTTTACTGAAAGGATGAATTATTGATTGAAAGAGAAGACTTTCCTTCCCAGCCAGCTACTACTGAGAAGTGCTTCTAAGGGTGATGCTATTTGAACTGAACGATGGGAAGAGAGACGAGCCATGGATGTAGGTGAAGCTGCCCCTTTCTCTTCTGGGGTCCGTCTCGGCTCTCTCCACTGAGAAGAGGCCAACTGTATAGGAATCATGAATTATTAACCTGCAGACAGGGAGGCCAATCTGGAAACCAGACTGAGCTGAGCAATTAAAATAACTTATCACTCTGAGAGCTTCTCTCAGGAAGTTGATACAGTTTTATCGCAGCTGATATATCTTGATCTCTCCTGCAAAGTGAGGTCAAAGAGTTTTGGAGTTTTTTAAGATTGATTACCTTGGAACAGACGAATAAGCCCTGCTCAAGCATTTTTAAAAATGATCAAGAAGGCCCTCCCTGGTGGCGCAGCGGGTTAAAGCACAGCACTGAGAATCTAAAGCCGCTTCCGCATGAGTTCGATTCCCGCCTGCCCCGGAGGTGACCACATGGCGTGGCAGACCTCTCCTGACCCGCCCGCTGCTCCCCTCAGCAGTGTACTTCGTCGATCTGCCTGTTCTGCTCCCCACTCTGTCTCTGGTGAATCCTCTCACCGCATCTCTGGCCTGTACCCCAGTTCTGTATGAATAAATAAATAAATCTTTAAAAAAAAAATGATCAAGAAGACAGGAAGGGCAAGACAACCCTTAATACCTTAATGAAGATATCTCTTAACATCTCCCTTGCCCTGGCCCTCAGCAGAAACCAACACTGGGAAGCTGCAAACTACGTTTGATGAATGAAGCCTAGAGTGTAGTCTTCCCACAAGGAAATGGCCTCTGTTGGTGTCTTGCTACAAGCTTGTCATCTTTACCTTGTACTCTAAATGCTCAAGGGTGCAGGGGCGTCCAACATACTTCCCAGGGTGTTGGAAAACTCTAAACACACCCACTGGTATCCACAAGGGGGCAGCATGTGACACGGAAGCCAGTGTCCACTAGTAAAATCAATTTTATTTGCATAATATGAGTCTCTCACACTTCTCTTCACACAGCCTTTCTTTAAAGGCACCTGCTCATTTAGTGAAACAAATGGGATAAGAAGCTGTTTCCGCTGTCTTCAAAAAATAGCTTTATAATATAAGTGGGGCATTATTGGATGAATCTCAAATACCAGAAAAACTACTTTTGTCGCTGAGCATGCTTTTTTGAAGAGACATAAAACAGAGCTTCAAAACTATGACATTATACCATAATGACAGCTCTCCATTTTCTTTGATTTTTCAGAAAATCATAAGTGGAGTCTTTTATGGTTTCAGACCAAAATAAACTTATCTGAAAACTCCAGATAATTGAGTCAACTGAATCTAAGTGTACAGACAGCCTTGGAGCTCATCGGTGGTCAGAATTTAACAAGCTCTCATAAAAAGATTATATTTCTAATATTTTCCTACATATTCTGCTCCCTAGTTTGGCCTCCAGTGTTCACAGATGAATATTCTCCATGTGACTTGAGTTCTAGACAGGGAAAGAAGGGAGGAGGAAGAAGGAGGTGTGTTCAGATCTTTGCCTTAGGAAATTTCTCAAGGGTCTTTCTCTCCATTGAGATTTGAGCTCTTGGGTCAAGACATTGAGCTCACTGGTGCAAGACATTGCCAAAACTTTGGAAACCTTACAAACAGAGAAACACACATCCTTCCTTCTACTACTAGGGACTGCAGGGAAGTAGAGGAATCAGAAATGTTATTTTGAAAGTTCACAGGTTACCTGCATCGTATTCAACCACCTTCACTATTTCTTCCTCAAATTAACCTTTGAATAGACACAAATAAGAAAGAGCAGCTAACCCTTTAAACTATTTTTTAATTTAGAGTTTCAGAAATAATCTTTAGAAAATTCTAGAATGACCCAAGCACCCAAGTACTTGTGGGTTTCTGGTCTGTAAAATTAAGATTCTTCCTTACCTGGTACCAGCTCCCAACTCTTCCCCATAGCCCCTCTCTTTCACCATCCATTCCTGTCCCCATGCCCCACAACCAAGTATTAGCTAAGTAGGGAAACAAAGGAAGGGAAGAGCAGAAAATGAACTTCTACTGAAGTGTAAACACGCACCCCAGAGCAAGAAGAAATGGCACATGGTTAACTGAGAATCTTACCAGATTGTTCCTTCTGACCAAATATAAATGTTATAAACCACTACAGAAATCAAAGCGTTGTAGTAAAAGAAACAGCTAAAATATAGAGCATGGGCTTCCAGGAAGCTGAGAAAGCAATAGTTCTCTACATTAATGGGCCATCAATCAGATGAGTTTGTGCTTTTCGGGGGGAGGGGGGGTAGTGGGGGCCCCGAACTGATTCTTTCTTTCCCTCCATTGAAGGGCTTAGTGCCAAAAGATTTTTCCACAAGACCAGCAGGTCACAGGCAGCCAAGAGTTCTGCTCCACCACAACCCTGTACTCTGAGGGAGAAGTATGACCATTCTCACAGGTGCTCTGAGAACAGTGACTACTCCCACTCCATCTCACTCTCTGCCTGGTCCCTGGTGTGGGAACATGTCACCTGCAGAAGACAGCGAGAGCATGGTCCTTCAAGTCAGCTCTAGAATAAACAAGGCAAGACCCAAAAGTAGAAAAGGAATAGAAAAGCAGAGTATTTCTTGAAACCTAAAGGCCAAGAACAGCAAGTTTTCATTTAAAGAGAGACAAATGGATGAAACAAGAAGGTGATAGCAAAGAAACTCCTAGAATCAGCTCCACACTGAATGTTCTCTCGGTGGAGGAGATAAAATTTACCAAGAGAGCAAAAGAGCCAAGAGTGCAAAAAAAGTGACTTAATCATTCATAATTAATCTTTGGAACAAGATCAAATTTGCCAAAATCAAGAAGAAAATCTATCAATACATAGAAAGGTGCTAAAATTCCAGATAATGGATGGAAAAAGAGAAAGACGCCCACGTCACAATGAGGGTGTCCACCGGGAGGAACCACCATGTCTGCTGGACTCAGGTATCACAACCAGTGCACACCAGGTGCAGAGCAGAAGCAAGACATCCACATGGCATGTGGGGTACTTCAGACTCGGGGAACACAGCTAGAAGTCGGACAGGGAGGCCAAAGACTCAAAGTGAAAGTGCATCTGCCCTCTTCTGGAACACAGAGAAGCTCCTGTCATCGGAGGTAAATGGACAGTGATCTCACACAGCTTGCATCCTTTACTCCACCTGTGATTTCTCTTGTGACTAACTCTTCTGTCCCTCCCTCTGGGATCTGCTGTATTTTACTTTAATTCAGCAGTTTGTAAGTGTTCAAAAGCCCAACTAACTGAAACATCTCCCTCACCTCAGGGTGTCCAGTCCAGATGAGCCCATAAGCTACATCCCATAAGCTAAGAATTTTTTATGTTTTTTAAAGGTCTGGGGAGGGAATAAATAAAATAGCATTCTGTATTAAATGAAATTCAACTATCAGTGCTTTTACTGTTCTGTGGAAAGTCAGGTTTATACTCCTGCACTTCACCTATGGCTGTGCTTGTATTACAATTGTTAACAGGGTGGTCCCAGGAAAAGGAGAGATTCCAGATCACCTGCTGCACCCAAGAAGTGTGGAGCTGAACTGGGAGGAAAAGAAGCTGGAGAGGAGACTGGGGAAGGAAAGAAGGGAGCAGGAGGGAGAGCAAGGAGACCTGTGGGGGGGGGGGGCACATGGAGCAGAGACAGGTGAAGAAGCTGCACCGGCTTTTTGGTTCTGGACTGGTTGAAACAGATGTGGGTGAGAGACCCATGGGGAGGTTAACTGTGACAGCATTTACCTTAAGTGTGATTTTGCTCTTTTCCTCCCAGACTTGTTCAGCTGTTTCTAACCCTTTTCTAAGGATCCCCACCAGGAGGTGCCTTAGACTTGTGGCAGGCTTCCGGGACCCAGTGGCCCTGGTTAAATTACCCTGTTTAGCTGGGCTTTTACCCACAAGGGGATGGGGAATTTTAGGTGTTTGATTGGAAACTCCATTTTCTCCCTTTTTTCTCTTTTCTGTATTGCACACTAATTGTATTAAAGTTCTTCTCCACGGAAGATCTTACACACTGGAGTTTGTCTTGTCTTGATGCTGTGGATGGCAGAACCTTTTTAGAGTGGGCAGGTTTGAGGGCATGAGGGACCCCTCTCGCTGCCCTGTAACAGGATGGCAGAGTTGACTAGTTACTACAGAGACATCACCTGGAGAGGCTGTACCAGCCAGCCTTCTACAGAAAATGCCCACCCCTGGTCCAGATACTTGGGAATTTAATCACAACTTTGACCACACCTTAAAAAACTTTTCACAAGGGAGGTCAAGGGAGGGGTCTGAAAAGTGAAACAGAACTGAGGCTCAACTCTGAGGAGGGGGACTCACCAGTAAAAATGCTCCTCCACCATCTTGGTGACTGCTCTGGAAACAGCTCTTTCATGGGGGCCGAGGTTTTTGTTTAAATTCACTCCAAGCTTCTCTTCCAGGAAGTCAATTATGAACTCTGTGCCAGAAACTTTTTCATGATTATATTCAATCCAAGGCATTTTCCCTTGAGCAGAGAGTTTTCCACCAAAATAGTTCTAAGCAGAGTAAATTTTAAAAAGAGAAAAGCATTGTTTTATTTAAATTTCATTGTATGATGAACAGAAACAAATTTTCTAACCATAACGTCATACTTGAATAGTGAGAAAGTGATTCCAGTGAGTGAACTCAGCCATAAATTCTTTGAAGAGAATAAATGGTTACTCCTGGGGAAAAAAAAAAAACTACAAGGCCCTCCCTGGTGGCGCAGCGGATTAAAGCACAGCATCGAGAATCTAAAGCCACTTCCGCATGAGTTCGATTCCCGCCTGCC